AGAAAGCCCGCCGCAGACGCCGAAAAAAATGAATTAGGAAATGAACGACATGCGCTAGCGCCGGGACGCCCGGGACACCCGGGACATCCAAGACACCGCCCAGCCCAACTGGGACACCTCCCGGCCACCGGCGGACGGGAAACTGCATTTCGCTCCTACTGACACCTGGGATACCGGGGACACCGCCCGGCCCAATTGGGACACCTCCCAGCCACCGGCGGACGGGAACGGATTTTCGCTCCTACTTCGGCCTAGCTACAGGAGGATCACGCGCAGCTTCGCCTCACCCGCACGCACGACACGAACACGAAGCCGACACCGACTTCCCGGCGGGGGGTCTCCATTTCACTGCGATCTCACCCCCAACTTCCGATTCAGACACAGTGAAATCGCAAACATGTTATGTGGTTTGCGTGCAAGATGACAAGTGGCGGAGTAGAACTTATTCCGCACGGACATGCACCCCGCCACGTTTTCATTACAAACCGGGCGGGTAGTTTCCGATCCGGTCGTGGGATTGCAAAGTTATCCCTTACAGGTGACCCGAACTACTCCACGAATGATCAGGAAGCACCTGCGCATGTTAGGAATCTTCAGAGGCATAGCCCCCAGCATCATACCAAACCGCAGAAACGTTCGCCACTGCAGTGTGCATGCCCGCCATGTGCCCTTCCGATTTGTTTCCATGCGACCGTCAGGCACTGGCAGTCCAGGCAATTGCGGCAAGGGCGCGAGGGCCTTATCTCACCAAGTCAATTGTCGGCTGCCGCGCTGGGCACAAGGCTTCGCATGCCACGCCAAAGGTGCCTGAAATACCGCTACGCCGCTACAGACTTCCGTGGCGTTCTATGAGAGCGTCAAGATGATATGACACTCGTCCTGCACTTTTTCGTGAGCTGGCGGGCGGAGGCTGACATTTGCCCCGACCCCGCCTGAGCTGCCCCCCCCTTTTCCCATTTTAGAATCCGAGCAGACCGAGCCAAGAACAATCGGATCAAAGATCCGGGTTTTCAGAATCCGGGGGTTTCATCAAATTGCGAAATACGTATGGTTAAACATGTGTTGTTTAGAATACACGGATGTGGAGATCCCGCCGGGCGAGATCCGGCCTATCCCAGCGGAAGACTATTGAATCCCATTTGACCACGGAATTTCCGGAGCGCCGATGACCATCAACGATGGCGACGCATCATCATGACCATTCGCAACATCATCATCATCATCATCATCACCACCACCACCATCATCACCATCGGCATCACCATCATCATCCTGATCGTCATCATCATCGTTTCTTGTCATCGCACACATAGCCAGAATTCTGTGCGGGGTGGACCCATGAAAACGTGATTGGACGCATGTTTCCCCGTCGCCGTGACAAAAAAAAATGCTGTCTGCGTGCAACGTGACTAGCAATTGGCGGAGTTGGCGGGGTAGATTCTACTCCGCGCAGACATGCACCCCGCCCCGCCCTTTCGTGACAGACTGGGCGAAAGTATGTTCGATCGGGATTGCACTGCTATCCCTTACAGGTGATCCGAACTATTCCGCGAGATAGCAGGAGCCAACAGTGCACGTCAGGAATCTCCAGAGGAGCTGGACCTTCCAACATCATACCCAGACGCAAAAGCGTTCGCCAAGGCACTGTATATGTCCATTATCTATGTCTACATCCTTGTATCCTCCTCCTTTTCTTGCACCTTTCATCGTGCAACAGACCACCGCTTACACAATGTCGCTCATCCCCTGTCTGGGCGCGAGCCCAAACGAATGCAAGCACCAAAGAGCCAAAAAGGCCGCCGCAGAAACGTGTGGTGGCAGAACGCGCCGGCGAGTGCAGTGGTCGCACCCCCTCGGCGCTCCGCTCCCCCCTGTGGCATCGTCCCGCTATGGGAGAAACAACGGCGGGATGTGTTTGGGTACTCCAGATTTCGTCATAAAAGGGAGGGGGTCTGGACCCTCCAAGACAAGCCATTTCAGACCTCCCCCGTGGGAGAACCCTCCAAAACATCGTCCCCAGACCCCCCCAGGCCCTCCAAGAGATAGCCTGGAAGAGACCCCCCCCCGAAATGAGACCCCCCTCCCTTTATTACGAAATCTGGAGTATGTTCGGCCTCTGGAGGGAGGGGGGCTGCTCCTGGGCCACAGGACCGCCAAACAAAACAGCTCAGGACAGCAGCCACCATCCTCGGGAACGGGCCCAGGTATCTTGGGATCCGCGGTGTGGAACATCCAGACACTTCGCGCAAACCCACCATCCCATCCAGAATCGATGCTCAGGCGAACGGCCCTGATTAGGGATGTAGAGGGGCATGCAGTGAGATAAAAGGCTGGGGAAGCCGTCATGCCCCACTGGGGGAAGATAGAGGAGGAATTCGAAGAGGAGGAGGAGGAGGAGGATGAGGAGGGGGAGGGGGAAGAGGGAGGAAGAAGGAGGAGAAACCGAGGCGCAGGAGGAGGAGGGCGAGCAGAACGACCAGGGACCTATTAGATGCATTTCGGGGTCGTTGTCGGATGTCTCTTGAAAGTTTCTTGTGATCTTCTTGGGGCGTCTTGGGAGCCTATAGGCGGTCCTGAGGGCTTCTTAGAGCGTCCTGGGTGCATCGTGGGGGCCTCTAAAGGGGTCTCTTGGGAGCATGTCAAGAACCTCTTGGGGACCTCTCGGGAATCCTTTGGGGCCTCCTGGGCATCTCTGCGAGGGCCACTGCAAGGCCATCTTGGAGGAGATCGATGAAAGAAGGGGTGATACTGAATTAGGCCGCCTCCCCCAGGAGGCCAAAATTGGCACAAAACCTGAGTCAAACCAATGACGTGTGCCTTCTCACCGAGGCCATCTTGGACGTTACAACGACCCGCGACTCCCCCCTCCAGACCCAAGGGGAGGGGGGAGGGGGAAGAGTCAAGACACCCGCCCCGGCAAGCCGTCTCGCTCATTGCCACCCGCCCTCCCAACACATAAGCAACACCCGAGCCTCAGCATGTTCAGTGGTCGTTTGTGGATGGACAGCTACCGGGACCAAAACAGACCCCATTTGCACGACGTTGGGGCGAGGTGCGCCACGTGTGCCAGGCGCTCCGCGCGCGCCAGGTGCGCCAGGCACCCCTGGGGCCCATGCGTGCCAAGCACGCCGGATTCGCCAGATGCGCCGCCAGGTGCTCAACGTGCGCGTCAGGTGCGCCACGTCCAGGGCACTCACAGAGTGTGCCAGGTGCGCACGGGACAGCGCACATCGGAAAACATGTCGGCCCCCACCATCACTGCCGAAAACCATCGCGGCGGCATGGCCATCATGGTGTCTGGTGGGCCTGCTCACAGCAGGCAATATGCCAGCACCCCCGCCGCCACAATCCAAAAACAGTGGGCAGTGATCGCGGGGTGACCACGCATGATCGTGATTTAGCCGCGAAGTGATTGTTTTGGGACAGGGATGGTGGCCCTGCGGACGGCAGGCAACATGCTTGTACCCCTGCCGTCCCTGTCAAAAACAACTACCCTGGCGAAGAACCCAGCCATATGCAGTTGTGGGTACCGCGATTTGTGCATATCTTCTTCGGTGAAGCTCCTTATGGGGCCACGAACTGGGGCCGTCGGTCGAGCTCCCTAGAGGGCCACGAAACGTTGTAATGGGTGGGTGAAAATGCAGAATTTCGCGTGTAGGGCGCATGCGGGCGGTCCCACTGGAGCCGTCGGTGGAGCTTCCTGTGGGGCCACGAAACGCTGTACCAGGTGGGTGAAAATGCCACATTTCGTGTGTGGGACGCATGCGGGCGGTCCCACTGGGGCCGTCGGTGGAGCTCCCCATGGGGCCACGAAGCGCTGTATTGGGTGGGTGAATATTCCAGATTGGGCTTTCAGGGCGCATTCGGACGGTGGCATTGAGGCCTTCGGTGGAGCTCCGTATGGGGCCACGAAGCGTTGTACTGTGTGGGGGGAATACCAAATTGGGTGGGACGCATGCGGACGGTGGCACCCGGGCCTTCGGTGGAGTTCCCTATGGGGCCACGAAGCGCTGTACCGGGTGGGTGAAAATGCAGAATTTCGCGTGTGGGACGCACGCGGGCGGTCCCACTGGGATGCTTCGGTGAAGCTCCCTATGGGGCCACGAAGCGCTCTACTGGGTGGGTGAAAATGCCAAGGTGGATGCGTGGGACGCATGCGGGCGGTCCCACTGGAGCCGTCGGTGGAGTTCCCTATGTGGCCACGAAGCGTTGTATTGGGTGGGTGCAAATGCAAAATGGAGCTTTCGGGGCGCATTCAGACGGTGACATTGGGGCCTTCGGTGGAGCTCCCTATGGGGCCACGAAGCGCTGTACTGGGTGGGTGAAAATGCCAAATGTCGTGTGGGACGCATGCGGACGGTGGCACCTGGGCCTTCGGTGGAGCTCCCTATGGGGCCTCGAAGCGTTGTATTGGGTGGGTGCAAATACCAAGTTGGGTTTTGGGGGCGCGTGTGGACGGTGGCACTGAGGCCTTCGATGGAGCTCCGTATGGGGCCACGAAGCGTTGTATTGGGTGGGTGAGAATGCCAAATTTGGTTTCCGGGACGCACGTTGACCGTAGCACTGGGGGCTTCGGTGGAGCTCCTTGTGGGACCACGAAACGTTGTGTTGGGTGGGTGCAACGCAGGGAGGAAGGGGAGGAGGGGGAGGGAGGAAGGAGGAGGAACGCGGGGACCGTTTCTTCAAAACGAAGACCCAACACCACAGGATGGCTAGGAATAAAGAGCACTCGCAGGGCCCACGAGCACGACCCAAGATTTCACCCCAAAGTGTATGTTGCACTTTTGTTCGAAAAGGATGGTGGGGGGGCATGGGTGCCCGTATAGGTTCGGGTAGGCTACAAGTCGCCTGGGGGAGTGGGAGTCTATTGAAAGGGAGCAGGGGAAAAAGGAGGGTTGGAAGGGGAAACGCTCTATACCACTCATGCACGGAGGGCTGGTGGGACTACCTCGGATGTTTCGCCCCGTGTTTTTCGTCGCGCGCCCCCCCCCCCTCGCGAGGCCTGCCCCGAGGGGCCCGGCGACACGCGGCCGCCGCCCCCGCCCCCGAGGCCCCTGGCGGCCGGGGCGGCGGGGGCCAAGCTGCCAGCGGCCCCGGAGTGAGGGGGCCACCCGGGGGAGCCTCGGCGCAAGGGGAACGTCGGGCGTTACGTAATGGAAGTGAAGAGAGGTACACCTTTTGTGCCCTAAAGGGGCCCTCAAGAGGCCCCGTAGGACCCAAAAGGGACACGAAAGGTGCACGCTTCTCTCCCCGCCACTAGTCGCCCCCCATGGTGTAACGCCCGATCATAGAGGAAGGCGGTGGATCGCCGACTGCAAGTAAAATGTTTCGGCCAGGGCTTTCGGGCTTTTTCGTCGGATCCCAGTCGGTTTTTTCCTGCCTCGGGATGCGTTCCAGCATCTGCGCCTCGAGAGCGTTCCAGGGCTGCCCGCCATCGCCCCGAAGGGGCGCCAGAGTCCCGAATTGACCCAATGACCTGCAGCAAGGGGGCGCGAAGGGGCGCCGACATGAGGGGGCTGACCCAGGAGGAGGAGGAGGAGGAGGAGGAGGAGGAGGAGGAGGAGGAAAAGGAGTCCGTGGCCATTTTGGCTCAAGGCCGTGGACGGATTGCCCTTTCCGCCACCGTGGAGGGACAAACCTGGGCTCGAGGCGTTGCCTCCAGGTTGGCAGCGGGCCCATCCGTCTCCCACCTTCTCTTACTTCTCGACTCCCTTTGGGCCGCGCACGATGCTCGCCCCTGACCATCAAGATGGCAACGAACAGAAGAAGCTCAAGTCTGAGGGGCTTCCCGACGAGATCAAGAAGTACGTGGATGGATCCCGAGATGAAGTGCTCGGAGCTCTGGCCAGCGTACGAGAAGCCATGGGCATGCTCACGACTAAGGTCACCACATCGTACGATTCGCTCTCCACCAAGCTCGAGCAGCGGTGCAACGCTCTGGAGAGGACTGTCTACGGGCATGACGGACGCCTCACCGTTCTGGAGTGACAGGTCGAGGATTTCAGGACCATCCACGGGGCCGTACGCAGCGAGACGCCGCAGAAGCTTGCTCCAGACCCTGCCTTTTTTGATCGGGTTGTTGACACTGGTATTCTTATTGCTCGTGCAAAATCCCTGGTCGGCAAGTCAAGCATGGAGGCCGCACTCCGCGAGCTCTTCAACAAAGTCAACATCGGCGCCGACGACTACACCATCGAGGGGGGCCCGGCGTCCAAGAAGTACAACTTCCGCTTCAAGGGCTCAGCCGCCTACGCCAGCCGAAAAGTATCCCAAGCCCTCGGGGCGCTCAAGAAGGATGACGGGGACTGGATGCGCTTCTCCACTTTCGACATCACCAACAAGCAGGTCGAGGTCATCCTCAGTGGCGACAAGAATGCATGCCAAATCAAACGAGAGCTGGCGCGCAAGCAGATTCGACGAATTTTGGAGCGCAGCTACGGCGACCTGCGCTTCTTCACCGACAAGCAGAAGGGCGAGATCAGCTCCCAGTGGAAAGCATTGGCCAAGGTCACACCTCAACACGGCGACGCAGTTCCTGGTGTCGAATATTCCACGGCCAACTTGCAGCACATGGGCATCGACAAGGACGCCCTGGCCTCTGCCACCAATGCCGAGTTCAACGCCGCGGACGCGGTGGAGCGGAGCTCCTGGCATTTTCGGTGCCTGGCGCTCTTCCAGCGGGACAAGGATCCCGCTCAAATTCCTGAGTTGGAACACCAGGGCCTTCTTCCATCACTCCTCGGACCTGGCCTCGCGGAAGGCCTCACTCGTTCGCTCTCATCTTGCCCCTGGTTCTGTTCTCACTCTTCAGGAAGTTCATGGTTCAGTTCATCATCTTCAAGATTTGCTCTTCCACTCCCACGTTCAAGGTTTCTCTTCCCATTCCCCATTCTCGTCTTCTTCACGCTCGAAAGGAGGGGTTGTCACGATTTTCCCGTCGTTCGACTACCTTTCGGTCCGACCAAATATCATGCGACAGACTCTTGTGGACGGGGGGGTATCCACGCCAGAATCGAGTTCGAGTACGGGATGTGGCGTTCGATATTCAACGTTCATAACTTTGGGATCCCTGGTGCATCCATGCAGCGAGTGGCAGATGCGATCTCGGCCGCTAGGGACGCCGCTGCCAGTTCGCCCTTGAAGTGCCTGGTCGTGGTGCTAGGCGATTTCAACATCAGCGCAGAGCCGCCGCCGTTTCCGGACGAGGCCCCGACGCCTGTGGCCCTTCAGAATTTCCAGGAATGGAGGCCCCAAGGGCCCGCTGCATTGGCTGGTGCTCTTCGCAGTTTAGTCGAGGTCGAGTTCCCTGACTATGCGCACCACCGCAAGCCTGGGAAAAAGTTGGCGAAAATCGACAGGAGCTTTGTCTCAGCGCCTGGCTGGCTCTGCAACCAATCGCGCATTGCGGGGGAAGCCGTCGAGCACCCCGAAGTGATGGGCGCGAAGGCGCTGTCCGATCACTCGCCGATCCTCTTCCCCCTGGCCACCGCCCTGGCTCTTGAGTACCAGTCGATGCTCATGCGCGAAGCTGTCCGCTATGCCCGCGGCCATGCCATCGCTAAGCCCCCCGGACCCCCCCTGGCCAGAACTTTGGTGGTGGAGTCGGTGGCTAGAGCGACCTGGAGACAGGATTCTCGACTTGCCGAGCGCGCGCGCGCGCTGCTCACCCGCTCGGCGCCAGATTTTGGGAGGTCGACGTGCTGGGGGAGCGCGCCCCCCTGCTCGAGCCCGACGAATTCCCACGAGTCTCCAACGAAGCCCACATGACGAGTTTGAACCGACGGCAGAACGAGGCCAACCCGAATATTTCGAACGCCCGATCCAACCGCGAGAAGAATAAGCACCGACGGAGACTCAAAGGAATTGTGACCAGGAGTAGGCTCTGGCCCCCTCTCGACCGCCGGTTGTGTCTTCAGGGTCTGCGACATGATCATGGGGTCTGTCGAGCCCCTGACGCTATCTTGGGGCCGCTAGCTGAACATTGAGGTAAAGTTTTTGCCGCGCGGGATATTGGCCAGGAGGCCGCCAAGAAGTTGCTCCAGAGGTACCCCCCTCAGGCCCAACTACAAGACCTTCCTCCGCCAACGCTCCAAGGGCTCGAGAGGTTCCTGGCTAAACAAAGTCATAGCGCCCCAGGGTTAGATGGGCCCCCTTACGATGCGTGGCAAAACCGCCCTGGGGGAGTTCGGCTGCTTGATAGTGTACTCTGGTGGCTCCTGGAGGGGAAGGCCATGCCCCCGTCTTTCAACTTCGCGCGCGCCGCATTCGCGCCGAAGGGCTCGGAGGACGGCGACTCTGTCGAGATCCTCCGCTCTGCTGGGCAGACGCGAACCCTCGGCCCAAAGCAGACGGCAAACAAAATGGTCACGGGCTTCGCGACCTCTCAGTTTTCAAAAGCGTTATCCAAGCTTGTGTTCTATACCCAGAGGGGCTTCGCTGGCGGGCGGAATCTCGGGCTGAACATCCTGGAGCTTGATCAGTTTACCAGAATCTGCTCGATGGGCGATGAGGTCTCGAGTTCTCTGCCATGTCTAGTTTCATTCGACTACGGGCAAGCATGTCATTCGATCTCCCAGCAGTGGATCTTCATGCGCCTGAAAGCCACGAACCTCCCTGAACCCCTGTTGGCCCTCTTGTCCGCGATTTACTCTGTCGCCCAGTGCTTCGGGGTCCAGGGTAGAACGCTCAAGTACCTCTTTGACATCGATAGTGGGATCATTCAGGGGTGCCCGGCGTCGGGGGCCATGCACGCGGGCGCCAGTCACCCTCTACGCGCGGCTTTCCATGATCGACTTGAGCGGCATCGTTTCGCTATGACTCGGGCGCGTGCTGATGGTCTAGGGGCTGCGCTAGTTCAGTTCGCTCACATTGCCATAACGAAAGAAGTGTTTGACTAAGGAGAGAAAGCCACCAATTTGAAACTCAAGCCATTTAAATGCTTCCCAGTGCCACTCGTTGGGGAATTTTCGGAGGAGCTTGCCAGTAGATACTCGAGGTGGCTAGCAGACCACCTCCCTGTCTGGACTGAGTTTCAAATCGTTCCGATGCTCACTTATTTGGGAATCCTGTTGGGACCTCCCGTCGTGGACCACGCCTGGCGTGCTCCGCTTCAAAAGTGGGCCTCGAGAGGCGCCACCATCGCTCGGGTCGGTGCGCCAACGACTGCGTCGCAATATATGTATGCCAAGCGCGCGGTCCCATGTGTCTCATACGTTGCCCAGTTCCCCCTTCCTCCTGAGGCCTCCCCTCTCTCTTGTTCTCTCTCTCTCTCTCTCTCTCTCTCTCTCTCTCTCTCTTTCTTTCTTTCTTTCTCTCTCTCTCTCTCTCTCTCTCTCTCTCTCTCTCTCTCTCTCTCTCTCTCTCTCTCTCTCTCTCTCTCTCTCTCTCTCACTCTCTCTCTCTCTCTCTCTCTCTCTCTCTCTCTCTCTCTCGCAATCCCATCGTTCGGCGCGAGCACGCTCTTCAGGCCTCGCTCTTTAATGTACCCCACTGTTGCCTGTCGCGCGCGAGCTTCTTTAACCTGCTTCGCCGGGGGGCCCAGCGATCCCGAGCGTAGTGGCCGCCCAGCTCGCTGCTCTGATGCGCAGTGCCCTGGCGGCGTCTCCCGATTGGCAGGCCCTCGCGACGGGTCTTCGGGCGCAAGCCCGCAAGCACCTGCCGCTCGCTCGGGCAGCGAAGGAAGAACGTTATCCGCCCTTCTGGGCCCGACAAGCCCTCTGTCAGGACCTCGAGGAAGCGGCCCTCGGATTCCCTTCTCTCCCGTTTGCGAGATCTGCTGGTGCTGATGCTCTCGCTGCCCTCGCCCGAGTCCGCCCATCCTACGATGGCACTAAGAAGCTGAAGGCGCAGAAAGTTCTCGGCGAGGCGCTGCTGCGCGGGCCCCCCCCCGACCGTGCGCCCCACGACTATAGAGAATGGCTTGAGAGGTGGCACCCCCAGCACGTAGATCAGACTGCTAGAACTAATTGGTCCTCGGCCAAAGCATGTCTCTGCAAATTGAAACCCAGTTTCACGAGCGCTGTCTGGAGAACTCTGGGCGGGGCGTGGGTCACCCCTGACAGAATGCACGACCTCGACTCGGTTGGCTGTAGGCTCGGTTGCCATGAATGCCCATATTCTCAGCATCAGTATTAGAGTTGCCCCCGTTTTCTCCG